CGGGCAGCGGGGGGGGGGCGGGCAGCGGGGGCACGGCAGCTGGCAGCTCCTTGACGGGGGAGGTGGCAGCCGTGGGCGCCTCGCCGGGGATGATTCGCAGGCAGCCGTCGGGGTAGGCGAGCTCTTCCTCCTCCTCCTCCTCCTCCCGGCGGCCTTTGCGCAGGCAGTTGGCCGAGACAGTCTGCAGCTCCACGCTGGCTGGCCGCGGCTCCCCCAGGACATACTTGCCCTTACGCTTCTCCAGGCAGGACACGTAGAGGAGGACGGTGCTGAGCACGGCGCACAGCACCACCAAGGCGACGATGGCAGAGATGTAAGCCACCGTCATGTCGCTGGCTGCCTGGCTGGCAGCGTGGGGCCGGGGGATGGCCGTGGGGCCGCGGGGCAGCTCGGGCAGCACGGTGAGGCTGTAGGCAGCCAGCAGCGTCCGGAGATCCCGCTCCTCCCCGTAGCAGCGGTACTCGCCGCTGTGCTGGGGCAGCGTGTCTGTCACCAGCAGCCCGTCCACCCCCACGCGCAGCCGGTCCTGCCCCGGGCCCGGCACCTCGCTGCCGTTCAGCAGCCAGACGGCTCGGGCCAGGTTGGAGCGCTGGTCACAGGGCAGCAGCACGTCATCACCCTGCAGCACCGTCCGATTCTTCGACGGCAGGAAGCCTGCGGGGACACGCACCACCTTGCACCCGTCCCGGCCACCCTAAGGGACACCAGAATCCCCTGCAGTCCTGAGGGACAACGCGGACTCACCCCGCCCAGAGCTGCTCCGGCATCCCCCGTTGCCGCTCTGAATGTCTTGCACCAGCCCCGTGCTGCAAGATATGGGTAGCTTGAGCCACACAGCCCCGGCTGAGCACACCCTTACGCGGTCACGGCCACCAGCAGACCCTTGGGGGCGGCACTGGGGGCACTGTGCCAGGGGGTGATGTGCAACAGCATGAGATGGGGCAAGTGGAAGGCTCACAGGGACCGCACCGGGGACGGGCAGCCCGTCCCTACCTGTCGGCGGCGGCGGTGGCGGTGGCGCGGCAGGCCCTGCCGTCCCAGGCGCAGTAGGGGTCCCGGGCGAGGATGCAGTCGTAGCAGGAAGCGTACCTGGCGCAGGAGGCCAGGGGCACCTGCAGGATCCCACTAGCTGCCCCCACGTACAGGCTCCTCTGGGGGAAAAGGGCTGGCTCAGCACTGCCCTGGCCCGGTGCAGCTGAGCTGTGGGGTGCCTTGCGGTGTCCAGAGACCCCTCCCAGCCCCACAGCACAGCTCTCCCTTGGTGGGGTGCATGGGGAAGGGCCCCCAGCTCCAGTCAGTGCCGACGGCTGCAGCTGGCACCTGGCAAGGCAGTGGGGGCCAGGCTGGTCCCTTTCCCAGGCTGCCCGCTGGGCTCTGGCACGTATCCCGAGCTGGGGTGACCCAGGAGTTGTCCCTCCATCCCCCAAACAGTCCAATGGCAGCTTCACAGCACAAACGTGCCCCATATGCGGTGTCCCCCCACTTCTTCCACCCCTCACCTGGGCGTGGGAGATCACCAGGCTCTCCACAGGCTGCGGGTCCCTGAACACCTGCACTTCCTCCACGATGTGGATGCCGGAGCCCAGCACCACGGCCTTGTGGATCCAGCCGTCCCCTGGAGAGCAGAGCTGGGGGTCAGGAGGGAGTGTGGGGTGTCCCCCCTGCTCAGCAGAGACCTGGAAAACTCATCCCATGCTCACCCGTCCCCATGAAGAGTACATCGTAGGAGTGGCCATCGAGGGCCCGCACCCTGTCGACGGCCAGCTGGCTGTACGTCACGCTCTTCTTCACCAGCAGCGGCTCCCCGCCGGCCGGCTTCACCTCCTCGAACATGAGTGGGTGCAGCTTGACGAAGTCCAGGACGCTGTTGGGCAGGTCCTGCGAGGAGTTGTAGCCCTTCCTGCGGGAGCGGTCCGTGATGCACTGCCCAGGAGAGACGGGGGTCAGGGGGGGATGCGGCCACCCCATGCCCCCCCTGCTCCACACGCCCGGGCACTCACGGAGCCAGGCCGGGGCTCAGGCACCGCACCGTCGTAGCGGGACCACTTGCGAGCCGAGTCCTGGTACTCCATGTAGGGGCCCTCGAAGGCGTGCTGCACTGCCGAGATGCTGTAGCGGCATACGGCCGAGGCCTCCATGGTCCTCCTGGGGGACAGAACCCCGCCTGAGCCCGGGCAGACACACGGGTGCTCCCACTGACACACCCCGAGGTGCTCACCACCCGCCTGCGTGTCTCCTTGAGCATCTCTGGTCCCCTCTGCGCCACAGACTTTTAGCCCCAGCGGTTTTAGCCGCTGCCTCGCTCACCACTGTGCCGAGAGGGTGAAGGTGGCATAGAAGACGGTGCTGGCCCAGCCGCCCCCGTCCAGGCTGCAGACGCTGCGCAGCACCTCATAGTAGGGGATGTAGCAGACCAGGCGCGCCTTCATGAAGGACGTCCACTTGCGCTGCAGGATCTTCTTCCCCCCCACGTCGCTCTGGGAGGGTGCAGGGAGCATTTCTGCACAGGCTGGTGGGGGGGCGTGTGTCCCTCTGCCCGTGCCTCAGTTTCCCCCAAGATGCAGGCACACAGCCCCCGCGCCGGGAGGAGCAGTGTGTGGCGCCCTGTGGCTGGGGACATGCCTACCTTGCAGACACGGGCCACCCGGGCCACTCGGGCCACCTGGCTCTTGTCAAAGAAGGATGTCGTCTCCTCGCCTGCCCGCTCCGTGAAGAAATAGTAGATTTTGTCATCATCACCCACGGGGCTGTCCTTGCTCTCCCGGACCAGCACAGAGGCCACGAACTCAGCATCTGGGGGATGCGGAGCGAGAGGTGGAGATTGGGGACCCACCACGGGACGGGAGATCCCTCCCTGCCTCAGTTTCCTCTTGTGGCAAACCACACGGGACCCCGGGGCCACCCCCCACCCCTGCTCCACGCTCCCCGAGGCGATGCACGCCATCCCACGGCCTGTGACGCTGGTCCCGGGGAGGGAATGGGGACGTCTCACCATTCAGCCAGTGCAGCGGGGACTCCTCCGTCTTCAGCGGCCGCTGGTACAGGTTCCTCCGGATGTCGGGAAGGCTCCGAAACTCGTAGCGCGTGGCCGTGTACAAGCCGCCGTCTGGGCAGGGCAGGCACCTGTCAGCATGGCCCCTCACCCCGGGGACAGCCCCAAAAGCCATCAGAATCCCCATGCCCCAGGCAGAGAAGGAGGAGGAGGACCAAGTCCTGGCTTGCTAAGGCCCCTGCATGCAGAGCCCACCCAGCTGGGGAGACCCCATGGGGGCACTGGGGACGGGGCCAGGGTCAGTGGCATCCCACATGTCCCCACCAGCCCCGGGAAAGGTGCCACTTACCCACGATGAGGCCAGTGTAGCCACGGGCAGGGTCGTACGGGCACTTCTCCTTGCCTTCCTCAAAGTGGGACGGCAACGTGAACCTGTTGGCATCCTTGAGGGGGACAGGGGACCAGATTAGACAGGAGGGGACAGACCCTCCTTGCCTGCCAGCCCCAGGCTCTCTGCAGAGGCTGCTAGCAGGGACAAAGCAATGCCCATGGCTGTGCCCTTGTCCGGGCAAGACAAACCCTTCTGGGCACCCTCCAGCTGGTCAGAAACCACAGGGACAGCCAGAGCCCCCAGCCAAGAGTGGGGAGAAGGCTCGGGGTGAAGGGGAGCCCCAGCACCCCACTTTGGCATCGTGTGGGCACCAGGAAGGAGCCAGCCAGTGCAGCCGATGTTCCCGGGATGTGCTTGGCCAGCAGACACTGCCCAGCTGGGCTGGGTTCCCCCGGGTGATGTCCCTGTCATGGCAGGAGTTATTTTCTTTGGGGTTTGCAGTTCAAAGTGCGTCAAATAATGATGGGGCCCTTCCAGCTCAGCAGCTCCTCCACCTGACTCCCAGGGCGTGCAATGGCCAAACCAGACTGGTGGCATGGCCGTGGGAACGGGCACAGTCCCTCTGGGGCTCCCTGGCCATGCTGGGGACATGGCCCCGGGGCCCTTTGCCCCCCAGCTCAGGGAAGGAGGTGGGCAAAGGGCAGCCGAGTCACCAAGGAGCCACCACACGGGGGTGAAAGTCCCACTGCCGGGGGACACGGCTGCCCCCGGCCGCTCTGCCGTGAGTCACAGCCACACAGGGACCCCTGGCCTGGCCCGGGAAATCCCTGGGGAAGAGCCGCTGAGTCAGCCCTGCCACTGTCACCCTCCCTGCCACCAGCCACCATCCAGACTGCAGCCCCTGCTTTGGGAAGGGACCCTGCAACAGCAGGGGCTGGGGACCAGCTCCAGTGCTGGCACATCCCACACTGCTGGCCCTGCTGAGCCCACGTGTCCCCCCCACAGCACTGATCCACCCCCAGCCATCTTGCTATGGGGTCAGAGTCCAACCCCAGCGCCGGGGTGGGGACTTTGGGCATCTGCGTCATGGTGGCTGTGTCCCCAGACTGATCCACCCCAGCCTGGGGGTCACTGGCCTCCCCCCCGAGCTGGAGAGGGGCTGGGACAGGGGCAGAAAGGGAGTGGGGATGTGAGTGGAGATGGTGGGATAGGATGGGGGCTGTGCCACCCCGGAGTGACATGGTGGCAGGGGATAGGTGACAGCCACGGGGCCAAGCGGTACTCACGATGGCAGCGCAGAGTGGGTGGAAGGCGTAGGTCCCGCAGGCATAGAGGTGGGTGCCGTTCAGCCTCTGCAGAAACCGCACGTGGTTGAAGCACTCGGTCTGCAGAGGGGGAGGACAGCCGTTACAAGCCGGGGAAAGCGGCAGCAGCCCCCTCAGCACCCGGCACCCACCCACCGGCTCTACCTGGTTGTTTTTGCCCTTCTGCAGGCAGTCCATCTGCTTCTCCGGGGAGGCTTCCCAGTGGATCTGCAAGGGGAAGAGGGACTGCCACTGCATGACCCCCCCATCACTGCGTTGTCCCCCCCGTCACTGCAGGCTCCAGCCTCTGCCAGAGCCGTCAGAGATGCTAAAATCCTCTCTTTTATTTAGAGAGGGGACAGCTGCTCAGAGCATGAGACAGCACCCTGCCCGCATCCCCCCAGCCCGGGGCGAGAGCGGTCCCACACCCCGACCTGCGGGCAGAAACCCCATAGCACCCACAGAAGCCTGGAGGATTTTGGCGTGTCCTTCCCAGGGGGAGTAAAGGGGTGCCCTTCCCCTGCCACCCTGTCCCTCTAAACTTGGGGACGTCTCCCACCGCTGTCCCCACGCTGCCTGGCTGGGGAGAAGGACCAGGCGTCCACAGGGGATCTGGGGACAGACCTGCGGACAGCACCACCAGGCAAGACCCGAGATGGTGAGCAGGAGGATGAGCAGGGATAGGGTGGCCACAATTTGGGCAGGGACCAGGCAGTGTGGGACAGGAGAGGACAACCAGCCGAAGGCAGGCAGAGGCCGGGCTCACCGTGCGGTGGGAGCCGTTGGCCACGTCACTGGAGTTGAGGGCGAAGATGGCTCCCCTGGCACCCACGTAGAGGATGCCCCGGTCGTCCTCCAGCAGCAGGGTGCTGTAGTTGAGGGTGTGCGCGCTGAAGCGCCGGACGCCTGACAGCTCTGCAAAGGGAACAGGGGGCTGAGGGAGGACCCTGGGGCAGGCACAGCACAAGCCACCAGGGAAAAGACAGAGGATGGAGCCGGGAGCAGGTGGGAAGGCACCCACCGAGGTTATCAGACAGATGGTGCTGGGTGCCAGCAGTTACAGCAGGAGGAAAGGAAGAGGGGAGGTTTGGTAGGAGGCAAAAGGCACTAATTGGGCTTAGGCTCACAGGGGAAATTTCTCCCTGCTAATTAAAACAGCAGCTCAGGTGTGGGAGCTGCAACGTCCATGCCCAGCATGGACCTGCCACGCTGTTTGGGGAACTGCTGGAGGAAGCGAAAACATGCTGGCAGTGACCCCGGCTCGGAACCGAACCCAGCCAGCCCAAAAGGACGCAAAAATCCTGAACCAAAACTGCCGTGCAAGGGGAGGGCTTCTGCAGCAAGGCTGGGCTCTCTCTGCCCACCGAGCCAGAGAAACCATCCAATTTGGGGTGCTGAGAAGTGTGAGGTGGGACTCAGCCCTGGCCAGAGGGACCCCAAGCCAGGCTCGGACCCTCCTGCTGCAGGAGGAGAAAGTCCCGTGGGGCTTGGGACCCCAGAGGCAGCTGGGGAGGGAATGACCCCCCCCGAAAGGAGGCACTGCCTGGGAAGAAAACGATACCCCAGCTGCAAATTAAACCCTCTCCCGCCGTCAACTGCTGAGCTGGGCTTCACTAACAAGGTCAACGCAGTCGTGTGGATGCCCAAGGCACGATGACACTACAGGGCTGGCTGACACCACAGAGGCTGGAGGCCAAGAGCCCAGTGGCAATTACAGAAAATCACGGAAGAAAGCTCCCTGCTGACTATTTGGGCCAGGAGAGCCCAGCCCGGCTGTGATGCCTGGCTCAGCACACCCCGCAAGGGCTGCTGGGCAGGGCCAGGCGCTGGCCAAGGCTGGCTCCCTACAAGTCCTTGTTCCCCCTTGGCTTTTGGGGAGATGCCTCAGCTCCATCCCTCGGGGCACATCGACTCCGGGCACCCAACAGCAGACAGCCATGCAGGCTCTGATTTCTAGAGCCCAGGGGAGCGGAGGCCCCCCTGTAGCCACCCCCCCATGCTGAGACCCCACTCTCGGGGGCTGGCAAAGGCTGGATGCGATTCACCAGACCTGGTGCCGGCAAGATCTCAAACCTCACCGCCACCACCAAGACCCACACCCCCTTACCGTCAAAGGTGACCGTTGTCCTGGGGGTGGCATCCAGGTCGGTGGCAGACCGCCGTGATGGGTAGCCCATCGCTGCTGCCACCGCCATGAAGAGAGCCGTCAGGAGCTGGGCCATGCCTCCGCTCATCTTCCTGCTCCCCCGGCGAGGGCAGCCGCCCAGCCCACTGCTGCCGGGCCGGCACAGCTGATCCTCGGGATGGGCTCCCCAGCTCCCTGGGATGGGGCCGGCCACCAAACCCTCCTGAAACACAGAGCACCGGGTCAGACACTCCCACTGTCCCCAGCACCTCACAAGCAAGTGGGCTTGGGAAGGAACCAGCCGTGCACACGCATGGACGCTTGACCGGGCACAGCCTCAGCCCGAGGACAGCTTCAGGGAAAAGCAAACCCTCATTTGCCAAAGGGGAAACTGAGGCACGGCACAAGGCATCAAGCCTGCAGCCAGCACAGGGCAGGGAGGGGAGTTTGAGCAGAGCGACCCCCCGCAGCATCCCCCAGGCTCAGTCTCCGCTCCCTCGCAGCGGCGGCAGTCGCTTGCTGAGCGCTTGGTTCGGTTGCTTGGAGGCTCATTTTCCTCCAGGTTTGCTCCGGGCTCCTCCTTCCTTTGCTCCCAGCCATCTCTTCCTGCAGCTCCCCCTGACCGAAGGATATGCTTCGGCAGAGCCAGCTGATCCCCCATTGCACTTTCACACCCAAAAAGCGGGCACATTTACCCCCCAAAAGCAGAGAGTGGGACTTGGGGCCAAGCCCCTCTGTGGGTCTCTTGGCACGTTCGAGTACCCTAAGCCCTGCTCCCCAGAGCGGCTGCGGCAGGACGGGTGGCAGGGGGGCTCCCAGGGAGCCCAAGGGCTCCGCTCCTCCTCAAAAGCACAGCTGGCCGTCTCCTGCCATGCAAGATACTTGTCCCCAAAGTTTTGGCCCTCCTGAAATGACGAGACTCCCGAGGACAGAGGCATGGGGAAGGATGCTTCAGGCACGCAGCGACGCAGGGTGAAGGAAAACCCATACAGGAGCCGCTTGGCATCTTCATCAAGTCTTTTGACGCAAGAACAGGTTTCCCCCCCATTTTTCCACGAGATCTGAGTTTCTCTTTCATCCCAAACTGCCTTGAAGCTCAGCATCTACCTCAGCTCTCGCTTTCCTGCATCTGATCCCTCCCAAATAACCCCCGCCTCTCCCGGCTGCATCGAGCAAAGCCACCGGTTCATTTTGCAGGCGCTGAGGAGGAAGGAGATGACTGGGTATCTCCAAGCAGGAGAGCTCCCCATAAGCAACCAGCACCTATATGTTTGCTTAGTTTTTTTAAAATATATATAAATGTATAAACCAAATACCTGGCCCTGTAGAGAAGCTGTTCAAACACGCTTGCTGCAGATGGTTTCCCTGAAACAAACACCTCGCCGAGTCTCTAGGCAGAGGGGAGGTAAAACCAAAGTGAAACGAAAGTGAAAAGGGCTTTGGGGCTGAAAAGGAGAAGTGAGGGGCCAGATGTGGAATCCAGCCATAGTCCTGGAGCCTGCATTAAACCACTGTTTCCTTCAGGGGGGGTTCAGACCCAGACCTTGCACCTGTGCTGGCCGCTGCCCCAGAGCATCCCGAGAACGGGGCAGAGGGGAGGTGTCCCCCCCTGCCCCCCAGGCGCCGGCCCAGCGCAGAGCACCCATAGAGCACCCAACCCCGGGAGCAGGCAGGGTGCTGCCTGCGGGGCTGAGCTCCCCAGGGAGCAGAGGACGGCGACCCGAAGCATCCTCCCTCCAAGGAACTCCTGTTCCCAGGACAAGCCCTGTCCAGACCGAGGGTCTGCCTATGAGCGATGGGCCTGGCAGGGTGATGCAAGCAGGTGAGTGGGGATGGAGGTCAACGGGAAACAAATTGCCTTGGTGGCACCATGTCTGGCATGAGCCAAACCCAGCAAGCCTTTTGGGCAATGCAAGTGGCAGGGTCACATCTGGAGCACCAAAGCACCCGAAAGTGCTCCGGCCAGCCCCGTGCTGACACCTCTCCATCCCACCAGCAGGACCAGGGCTACCCCGGCAGTTGCGGGGACCCTTCCCCAGGCCTCTGTGCAGGGACATGAGCCCAGAATCACGCGCAAGCCACAAGAGCTGCCATGCACCTGGGCTGGGAAAGCAGAGAGGAGGAGAAACCTTCTTACGACAATGCAAACAACGATTTCTAATAAATGAGTAACAGCCCTGTGAGCTGCCTGCATGCTGCCAGGCGTCCTCACCTTATCTTCCCCGAACAAACAAGCCCTGAACTTTGCCTGCTGCCCGGCTCTGTGCATGACAGGGACTGGAGCCAGGAGCTGGGCAGGGAGGCAGGGACGCTGCTTATTGCAGGGCAGCATTTAACCAGCGTGAGCACTGAGCCAGCACAGGGGGGAAAAATAAAAATAACAAACTAAGCTGTGGGGCTGCGCAGGGTTCCCAGCCGGGCAGGGGGGGAGCAGCCTCCTCTCCCACTAGGGCCGTGCTCCTCTGCTTTTTCCAGGGGAGCAGCTACACCCATTTCCAAAGGCTCCTTTGCCCAAGATCAGATGTAACTTTGTCCTAAAGGACATTTAATCACTTAGCAGGAAGACCCAGTTAATATTTTACTTGAAGGGAAGGGCTGCTCTGAGCTTCTCTTTTTCTTTTTATTTTTCATACCTAGGGTGGGGGAGAAAGAGCAAGAAGGAACTAAAACCATCCTTGGCCCCGCTCAGATCATCACCCCGGGCTGCAGCTGCCCCAAACCCCCCCAAACCCATCACCCTCCCCTCAGCAGGGTGCAATTTCAAAGCTCTGGGCAAACGCAGCAAGGGCTGGGGGCTGAGGCGGGAGGCACAGGAGGTCTCTGTCCGTGGGACCTGCCATTTGGGCTGGGGACGGTTGGTTGGCTCAAGCCCAGCTCTTCCATGGGAAGCAGGGAAAAGCCAGGAGGGGAAACACCGCAGAGAGCTTTCTCCAGGGGAGGGAGACAAAACGGGGAGAGGAAGAGGCTGAAAAGCAGCAGCAGCTCCAATGAAATCTGGGGTTTACATGAAAAACTGCCCAGAAAAGCCTACGCCATCCCCAGGAGCGAGCTCCCAAGCCCCTTGGCTCCTCACCTACTTCCCAGCGCAAGGGGGACCGACATAGGACCCGAAATACGGCCTCAGCTCCCACCCCGGTCGGCGACACTGAAGGAGAAGGGTGACGGAGGCAGGATCCGGCCACAGGGTTGACGGCCTCCCCGGGAGCGGGGCAAAGCCAGGAACCGGCTGCTCTAATCGCAACATACAACGTCCACAGGGGCCAAAGCCCACCCTCCTACCGCCGGCTACCGGGGCGCCTGTGGGATGGAGCCGCAGCTCCTGGCACGGAACCAGGCGAGCCAGACCCAGGCACCAGCTCCTGCCAGCGGGACAGGTTTGCTGGTCCCCGGGGAACGCCAGGAAAGCGACGGGGCGGCGGAGGCGTGCGTGAGCGCGCAGGGGAGCGAGCGAGCGAGCCCTGGTCAGGTCTGACTGGGTTTACTGGGTCACGATTGAAGCTGTGCGAGCATGACTGTGCTGGCCTCAGCCTCCCACCGGCAGCCAGCCGGCACAGCACACCCAAACGAGCCGGCCCAGTCAGCACCTCCTTAAAATCCCCACGACCAGCGTCTCTGGAGGCACAAAAAGCTTTTGATGAGTGAATTTCCTGGTGGCAGGTCTCACCACCTTGGATCTGGCCAAAGAAACCAGCCATGCCATGAAGCTGCCACACCCCTCGACGGCCACTGTGCCAGGCACTTCTGCTGGCCACAGTGGCCCCTTCCCGCTACCCCGTGGTTCTCAAAGCCATGAGGCAGCAAAACCTGGGAGCAAGAGCTGGCTGCAAGCCACGGTGCAGGGAAGCTGCGCTGTCAGAGGGGCTGGCAAATACGGAGGGACCTCAGCCAGGGTCTTATGGGGCCCCCCCATGGCAGTTTGCTCAGCGGCACAGTTGGAAAGCGATGCTGGCTTTTTAATTTAAAGCGAACCCAGGAGAAAGGATGGAAATGCTGGGTGGGAGCAGCCCTTCTCTGCCTCACCCCCAGCATCCATCCTGGATGGTGGGACAGAGGTTTGCAGAGCGGGATCGGACGCTTCCCCATCCTGCCGCTCTGTGGACAGCTTGTGGTTGCTTCACCGAGCTCTAGCAAAGCCCAGGCAGGCTCCCGGACCTTTCTCCCCTCCTCGTGGGCTGCTCCCCTTGGCATCGTGCACTCCTACAAGCGAGCGCTGCTGGCTTCCCAGTGGGGGCCAGGATTTCCAGTGGGTCTCCTGCGGCTTACGGGGTTACAAAACAGCCTTAACAAAATTCCCAGCAAGGACTGCAGCAGAAACCACCATTTACACCTTGCTTTTTTACAGCAGCCCAGCCCAGGTGCTCCAAACCCCGCGTAGCCGATTCAGCTTTACTCATCGGGGCCAAGCCCAGCACGTGATCCCCGCCGGCCCCCTCGGCTCCCCCGCCACTCGCTCCCCCAGCCGCATTCCCACCGGCCCAGCAACATTTTACCCCCCCAGGGACCCACGCGAGTTGCCCTCGGGTTCAGCCGAAACAGCCCGACCCGTTCCTGGCGCAGCAGGGGGAAAAGGCACCCGCCCCGGGGGACAAGGCGGGGAGAGCTCCCGGCTCCCAGGCGTGGGAAGAAGCCAAGGAATTACGGGAAAAGAGCCATCCAGCGAGAGGCAAGCCTGGCCCCTGCCTAGCTGTGAGCGCGGCGTGTTTCGGGCCCCCCTTCCCCGGAGCCGGCAGACCTTGGGTGGGAAATCCTGCGAGATGCGGGAAGAGGAGCCGGGATGGAGGTTGCCAGGCAACTTTAATTCAGCCCTTGACGAACTTCCAGCACTTTGCTTCTGCGGTGCAGTCCAGCCAGCAAATGATAAAACATCAGGTCCACCTCAAGCCCGCGGTGTCTGTCCGTCCATCCGTCCCTCACAGGGGCTTGCTCATGGCCCAGAGCCCGGGCTGCCCTGCAAAGCAATGGGTCCCCCCCGGCAGCATCCCTGAAGGCCAGCCCGGGATGAGCTGCCCTTCCCGGCAGAGGTTTGCAAGGGCAGGATTTGACCCGTGGGACTGGGCTGGCGCTGCCGCACGGATATTTCTCAACCAGCTGGGATTTTTGTCAACAACA